GCTACGAGAGCGACGCGGTCGTAGCAAGTCGTAGCGAGTATTGCTACGACCGGCTCTGAGGTCCAAGTGTTTCATTACTTCGAAGAGTATCAGATAAATAGAAAAGTTGAAGTTGTGTAGAACAGATTCTTGTATTTCATTGTCTTTATTAAAAATGCTAAGCAATTTCATTTCAAATTAACTAACAACTAAATGACTAGCCAAAATGATGCAACTGTGCAAAGTATGACTACCGACCCAAACGTGTGGAATATATGGACTTTGTAAAATACTTTACTCTTATTCAGACTGCATAATAAGTAATTAGTTATTAGCTATGAATCGAACAGCTGATAAAATCATACAATGCGATTGTCAATAGCAAATGTCAAAATAATAACAAATCGACCACCAGCAGCTGTAGCCACACGCCACTTTAGCGCTTGTCTACAGAGTGAAAACAAAATGTATGGGGACTGACAAGTGTCAAAATTACGTCAAATACTTATGGTTTGGTTTTTTTACAAGTAGACAAGCGTTAAATGGCATTTGGCTACAGCTGCTGATGTCGAAAACATCAACATTTATTTATTTAATTTAATAGAACGGTACAAATACCAAGTACACTACTCAATACACATATGTACATGATTGATCGTGGGAGAGGCATGCTTCACCATGAATGGGCCGGCTCGACTGGAGTGATACCATGGCCTCACAGAAAACCGACGTAAAATAATACTTACATTGTGTTTCGTCGTGTGAGTGAGCTTACCGGAGGCCCAATTATCCTCCTCCCCAATTTCCCCAACCCCCGAATCTCCAACAATCCTCAAATTCCTAATCTCCAAAAGGTCTGCAACGCACCTATCACACCTCTGGTGTTCCGCGTATCCATGGATGTTTACAGGTTTATTCCATAAAAAAAAAACAATTAAAGAAAAAAGTAAAATACCAAACTTGAGTACTTATATTTTTTATCACTTTCTATCATTCATTCATCTCTTTCGCAAAAATTCAAGCATTTCGAAAATAATAATCTTGTTTCACTCGAAAATACACCACACTCATCATAATAAATCAAAGGTGATAAAATAAAACCAATAAAACCACTTCTGGTATTCCGACGCAGTGACCACGTGAATGACACATCACAGGCGTCGCCATTACTGATTGATCGCTTGATTGAAAGCCCTTCACAATGTTGCCAGAACTGTGTCGTTATTACTTCACAATAATTGTATGTGTGAGTCGAAACGATTAACCAATGAGATTTTAATTAAACAATCCTACATTTAAATTGTTAATGAAATTGTTATGCTTCATTTTGTTCTCGTGGAATCAACGACCTCTACTGACACGTACAGAGAAAGTTTGAGTATTAATCACCACGCTTGCTCAATGCAGATTAGCGATTTCAAACTTATAAATAACTAGAAATTTTAAGCCCAGTTTTCCTCACGATGTTTTCCTTCACCGTTTGTCAGTGGTGTCTAGATAATCTTAGAAAGTACATGTAACTCGGAAAAAGACACATTGGTAATTTATTGGTATTTGCTGTTGGTAGGTCTCATGCATGTTAGTGCTGGCTTTGATCCAGCGGACGTCTCAAACCTCCACCACAACATCATGGAATAATGGTTGTTGAAATGTTTCATTATAATTTTCATCAAAATATAAGTGGTGACAATAAAATGCAATAATAAGTGCACGTATTCCTATTTATGCTTTTCATCAATAAAGTTGCAACAGGAGGTATTCACAGGGTTTCGGCACCCTCGAGAGTGCTAGACCTTGTTTTCAAATCGAGCAAAGAAACGAAACGCTTTAAAATCTCACTTCGAACATTTTTATAAAATCCGTAAGAGCGTTTCCATTCTATCGAAGCTCGGTGAAGTGCAGAGTCGTTTGATAATTCCCTGAGCACTCTTTGTTTGAAAATCCGGATAGAACTAGTCTCAAGACAATGTATAATGCAACAACAAGTTTGTTTTCGTCTTCGCTAAAACTGCAATCACCGTCTTGATGAGACTTTTAGTTTTATAGAACAGTACTGTTGTTAGCTGCTCAAGAAGGGTGCTGTATTTATTTTTAAGCAACGAACTGTATTAGGAATTATGTCTGTTCTTAAAATGTTTGTTTCTTATCTTACGTGACATCTCGAAGGGGATAGGCAGAGGGTAGACAGAGGTGCACATTGCACTTAATGCCACTGTACAACGTAACACCCAATTTTCACTATTTATGTTATGATTTCCATGTTATATGGAGTGAGCCTATTGTCGTATACTGGGCACAATTTGAGACTCCATGGTACTACTGAAGATTTTTTTGTAAACCCATTAATACTTTGCCCGACCCGGAAATCGAACCCGAGACCCCTTACCCGGTAGTCGCACTTACGACCAGTCGGCCAACGAGGCAGTTTTTTAATCATTTACTTCTAAAATTTTACAATTGTATAATTATGAATTAATTGCAAAATTATTGTATTTAAATTAATTAGTATAGTGATCATATTTGACTATTAAAGTTGTTAGAACACAAACTACTAAATATAACTAAAACAAACGCAGTAACTTGATAAGGGAAATGAATGTCACAGACGAAGAGCGGGGACTCGGCGCTTCGGATTTATGTTTTCCTAAAAACGATTTATGTACTTCAAGAAGCTACAAATTATGCACAGAATAAAATATAATATAGTCATAATTATGACTCATCTCTATAGTATTGGGAAAAGAGTAACAGGTCGTTTTTTCATATGACAACAAATAACTTTGTACTTACTTTAGCATCGTATAAATCGATATGTTAACCTCTTAAGAAATTCATACCAAACATAACGAATGATATCCTTTCAATACAGCAATATTACCTGTAACAAAAATATTAATAATAAATTAAACAATTCACAAAAAGAAATATAGAATTCACATTTCCAAATAGAACCAATGAAAACTCTAAGAAACATTTCTTTAGCCAGCTCAATAACTTTCTTATTACTTGGAACAAAAGGACTACTTTTACTCGAACTTTTTCAATAAAGTCCTAGGCAATAAGCAGTACATTATAGTGTGCAAGTTGCAGTCAACATCATTTGTCTTTGCTCCGTCTACTGGGAACTACAGTTCTCGAGAATAAAGAAACTGGTTACTTTTTAAAGTTTTTGAAATTCGAAACTGAAATAGCCAGTACTACGTTTTAAGGATTTAACTTGAATAAATAGATGTGTATAACAACATGCAACAAAGCCTGAAGGTGCTTCCTCATCAGGAGCATTTGCGTGTAATGTAACGTTACAGATCAGTGAAGGAGGAGAACCGAGCATTACCTACAATGCGCACCTTGTAGTGATACAATGTGTAATATTTGATACAACATTACATAACATAACATCACGCCTTTTATCCCCGAAGGGATAGGCAGCGGTGCACGTTATGCCACTGTACAATGTAACACCCACTTTTCACTATTTATGTTATGAGTCCCATGTAATAGGGGGTGAGCCTATTGCCATATACCGGGCACAATTCCAGACTCCGTGCTACTACTGAGAATTTTGTAAAAACCCAGTAATACTTTGCCCGACCCGGGGATCGAACCCGAGACACCTTGCCCGGCAGTCACACTTGCGACCACTTGGCCAACGAGGCAGATTTGATTCAACTTGTAACATGAATGCCCCCGCCCGGCGGCTTCGTCTGACATCTTGCTATGAAAAGCTCAAGTCGAATCAATATGTTATATTACACGCAAATGCTCGTTAGTCAGGGAGGTATTATTGTTATGTAATGCTCAAAGTTTTAGGCACTTAATACCACTACAATGTTACACCCACTTTTTACTATTTATGATATTAGTCCTATGCAATAGGGGGTGAGCCTATTGCCATATACCTACCGGAAAATAAACAACCAATCTAGCATAAACATTAGCTGGGTATCACGTAGAATCTGTAAACATTAGCATCCATTGGTATTTTGCCAACAAAACCATTCAATTATCTCTTATATTATGACAAATAGAAATCTGATAACAACTTATTTAATATTGAATTTCTGAAACTAACATTCCGTCCGCCATCTTTTGTGGCAAGACTTATATCGTATGATGAAAAATAAAGTCGCCACTTACAATATAGACGACCCGTAACAATTATGCAGACATTGTTTTAAATAATTAATTAACTATTTATGTATCAAGTCTTTTAAAATAAACTGATAGTTTTAAAACCGGGTCAACACAACAATTTCACAAAACATTCATTATACTTTGAAGATAACTATGTAAAAAATAATTACTATATCATTTGTAAAATGCTAATTTAATTGTTTTGTAAGTTAGGGATGCAGTCTCATTTTGAGTCGTAAGCGTTAAAAATCTTAATTTGTACACAACAACTACTATACTAAGGAGATCAAGGAGATTAAACTATGAACATCCATGTAATACCACTTATGACACAAATAAATAAATTATTACGATTATGATTATGATCAAAAATAAAAAGAAAACATAAACCCATTCGTAGTTTTAGTTATATTAACAAAATAAATATGAATAGGGAATAAACAAAAGTGGGCCTAAGATTGCACCCTGGGGAACATCTAAGAGTGTATATTATATGAAGTACTGCATGAGACCGATAACCGTTATAACACTTGATGTTTTATTTTTAATGTAAGATTAGAACGAGTGAAAAAAATATTCTGTATGCCACTATTTACAAGCTTATTAAGTATTATTAGAATGTTGACATGGTCAAAAGCCTTCTAAAAATCTATATATACTACGCTAACTTACAATGGTTGATTCATATTTATGGCACGCAATAATATAGAAAGACTACAAGTAAAATAATAAATCGCACAGAAATACGTGATTCTCGTTCATTGTAACTATTGGGTATTATTTTGACTAATTACTGCAACTAAAATAATCACAATATTTCTGTACAGGTGGCAACCATAGAAGAACTGTTTTTAACAACTACTTTAGATTAACTTTGAATAAAATTGACGCCCGTCGTCTGTTTCGCCCACACTTAGTGGTGCCGTTGAGATGTCGAAGTTATTAATACTGTTGCTTTGCTGTGCCGGGTTAATTAGTGCCCAAAGTAAGTCTAACATTAGTGACGTCTAGTCTTTCATTAATTTTTATTTTATAAGCAATATTAAACACATCTCGTGGGTATTTTATTGAATCGCCGTGTGTGTTATCAACCCCTAAGTTTGAATCGCTTAACTAAGATAGGTGACCAAATACTTTATTACATTCCACAATTTTTGACTTAGGTGATAACTTTGGGTAATACATCATTATGGACTCTTCCTATCTTTAAAAAAAACGTAATAAGTACTTGCTTTGTTTTTGTTCGCGGAAAGTGTGAAACTCTGTATATTGTCGGACAAATTCACATATCTCCAGGATATACATTTATATATATATAGGCTAGTAAGTGGAAGTATTTAATATTTTTGGAAATACCGGTTGCAGCTGTCTGTTTGTTCGATATTGGCTATTATTCGGATTAGTTTTTTCTGCAAGTGAAGACTGTGTGTGAACTTGTGCTATTTCCCCATAAAATCATACCGTAGCTAAGCCAGGCTTGTGCGTACGCGTGGTAAGTTATAAGAGTAGTTTGTATATTTGTTACATTTTTGAGATACACGATAACTTTGAGAGATATGCTCGTGTTTTTTACGTTTGGGACTTCTAGTTTATATGTGTGTATCGTTAATCTGATAAGCGTAAAGTCAAATATTAGTTCAAGATTTGTACTATTAAAATATCTACATGGGGATGGAAAGTTAATATTTTAGTTTTTGTGTAGTTTATTCTTAAGTTATGGTTATAAATCCAGTCATAAACTTTAAAAAAATAATGCAAATTTGTTTTCACTGTCTTATAACTGACATCTAACAATACTAGTAAGGGATTAGTTTAGGTGCTTTCTAACGCTAAGTTACTTTAAGTTACGTGGCAGTTTAAGGGTGATTGGTAAAAACCGCCATAAGACTCTCCCTGTATACTAGTAATAGGCTCATATTTCTGTTTACAGTTCAAAACTGTCCCAGTGATCAGGCCTACGTATGCCAAAGTCCTTGTGGAACAACGTGTGCTACTGTTAATAGGGCTTGTACCCAATTAGTGATTCTCTGCTCATGCTACTGTAGAATTGGCTACACCAGGCTCTTCTCCAACGGACCATGTATACCTATCACTTCTTGTCGTAAGTATTTTAGCTAATCCTTCATACCCTATCCCTAATCCTTAATGCCTAAATCCCCAGTGCCTTAAACTCTTTTGGTGTCGCGGATGTCCAATTGCTTACCATCAGGCGATCAGTCAGCTTTTAGTTAGATTACCACAAAACCTTGTTCCTTTTTATTTCTTATATTTTCACTCGTAAACGGCTTAACTGGCTGTACCAAATTTTACTACAGAAATAGACTTATTTATGGAATAAAAGAAAATGTGAGAGATAACTGTCTATTTTGTGAATAATGGTTTTATTTTTTTACAGCGCCCACTATTTGATGAAGTTAAGCTGAAAATGGGATCGACATACGTAACCCTCATATACTGCCTTTAATGATGGGGCTAGTCTTCTAAATTATAGAAAAAAATACGATTTTCTGATATATCAGTTTTTTTATGTATTCTAATTTGTTTCTTAGTATTGTGTTATTTAATTAAATTACGATTATTTTCAAATATACTGAAAATGCAAAAATTTAATCTTTTTTTTAATTTTAATGGGGATGAGAACTGGTGAATTTGAGTTTTTGGTATACCATTCCAACTTTGTCAAACGCTTTCCTAAAATCTGTGTAATATAAAAAGGCTGTAAAAATAAACATAGACTACAATTAAAATAATAAATCACACAAAAAGATGCAATTGTCGTTCATTGTAACGATTATGTATAATACTCACTATTTACTTTAGCCGAAATATTGTCAGTAATATATTTATTCTGGTGACAATAATAAAAGATCGGTTTTAAATAAAATTGACGTTTGTGGTCTGTTTTGTTTATCTATATACATATAATAAAATTGTAGAAAAGTGCTGTCTGTACATTGAAAATAAAAATAAAAAAAATAGCAGGGGCTATTGTTATGTCGATTTTGAACCCAAAAATGTAACTAACTTTTTTTTTGTCTGTTTGTCTGTTTGTCTGTTCACGCTAATCTCAGAAACGGCTTATAAATATATATATATTTAACAGGGTGCGGATTTGGTGATAGTGGTTTTATTCCTCAGATTCCTCTCATTCCAAAAAATTTTCCGTTTAATTTTAAACGAATTCAGTTTCCAGTGAGCCTATGTTTCGCCATGACAATTAATAAAGCTCAAGGTCAGACTCTAAAAGTTGTGGGTCAATTGTATGTGGCTTTGTCCCGTGTTAGCAATCCCAGCAGCCTGTATGCTTTCACCCCCGATGGCCATACGTCTAATATTGTATATAGAGAAGCATTACAGTAAAGTAGGTTTTTTAGCTACCCAAAATGACTGTGATTATGATCCAAATCTAAAATAAAAATAAGTATATACTTAAAAAAAAAACGCTGCTCATAGTCACTATTCTACGCGGACGAAGTCGCGGGCACAGCTAGTACTTAATATTGTCGTCGAAATGTCTAACTGATATTGTTGTTCTTTTGTTATGTATTAGTTAGTGTTTAGCGTAAGTCTATAATTGATTATTGATTTATTTGCATTTATAGATACAAACAATTGCATGTTACACAGAAATGACTGAAGGGTTGTTGCGGTAGTTGGGCAACTGGCTGCCGCGCAACGTGTCGCGAGTTCGATTCCCGCACAGAGCAACTCTTTGGGTGATCCACAAATTGTTGTTCCGGGTTTGGGTGTAATGTGTATTTGAACTTGTATGTTTGTAAACGCACCCACGATACAGGAGAAAATCCTAGTGTGGGGTAACGTTTAAAAAAAAGTATAACTACTACATACATAATTATTTTCGTAAATCAAAAAAAAATCTGATTAACGATAGTTCGTATCTTAAAGAACGTAAAACCACTTACTGGACGTATAACTGTTTTCATTTTTTATTACATTTATAAGTGAATACAATTTATTTTTACTAAGGCTTAGTATATATTTTATATATAAATGTGATGTGTAAATACGAAACATTATGTGTTTGTTTGTTTGTTTGTTAGTCCTTCACGTCGAAACGTCTGAGGGGATCGAAATGAAATTTGGAACAGGTTTAAATTCTGGTGTGAAATAAGGTATAGGTAAGTACGAATGGGTCGGCTGAACCGGAGTGATACCACGTCCTCACAGAAAACAGACGTGAAACAACGCTTGCGTTGTGTTTCGTATTGTGAGTGAGATTACCGGAGACCCAATTACCCCCTGCCCCAGTTTTCCCAATCCCCGAATTCCCCACAATCCTCAAACTCCTAATCCCCAAAAGGCCGGTAACGCACTTGTAACGCCTCCGGAGTTTTGGGTGTCCATGGGCGACGCCATTTGCTTACCATCAGATGATCCGTCTGACCGTTTCCCAGCTTATGTCATAAAAAAATAAAAAATAAAATAGGTTACTTTTTAGACCACTCGGATGCGGATCAAGCCGCTAACTTCTGCCAGTGGCTTGACCTGCGTTCTTGGCTTCGCGTTCTTAGCTTCTGCCAGTATATTTATATTTCTGTTTTCAGCTCAGAATTGTCCTAGCGGTGAGAATTTTGAATGCCGCTGCCCATGCGGACTAACATGTGGTACTCTGAACAATCCTTGTTTAGAAGTCATTATCTGCTCTTGCTACTGTCAGGCTGGCTATACAAGGCGCATCACCAACGGAACGTGTATACCTATCTCGTCTTGCCGTAAGTATTCTAGCTAAATGTCTACCTCTATACCTAATCCCCGATCCTCAAACCTTAAATCCCCGGTCCCTAAAATTTTGCAACTCTTTTGGTGTTGCGGGTGTCTGTAGTCGGCGATTGCTTACCATCAGGTGATCAGTAAGCTCGTTTACCACAAAAGCCTTGTTTTTTTCATCATTTCTTATGTTTTCATTCGTAATCGGATGAACTGACTGTGACAAATTTCATTATAGAGGTAGAAATAGACTTATTTATGAATCAAAAGCAAATGTGATCAAACTGTATAAGATAAGAGTATTTTCCAAATTATGAATAATGGTTTTCTTTGTTTACAGCGCCCAGTAATGGTTAGCGGATCATAGGAAGTTATACTGATCCTCATACGTCCAAACTTATCGTTTTTGTCCAAAAACCCATGACAGTATGATTGGAACTTCTAGAATGAGCCGTGAACAGCATGGCCAATAGACTAATGTGTGCTAGCTTAACAGTACAAGAACTATATATTATTATATACAATATATTTTAAGGTATACTGAAAGTGTTGATACCATTAGTTTAAAAAAGCATTTAAACAATATAATTATTAATTCAAATTCAAATTCAAAGTCTTTATCGCTTCATGTGTGGTTACCAAGGTGTTATACATAATACATATTATTTTGGTAAGCAGTATCAACATGACCCTGTAAGGGCGCTGCAATTTATATTAATTAATAAAAAACACTGTATTATTCAAAGATTTTACATAACATACCTCTATTATTAAAGTATTACCACAATTGCTTCAATTGATTTTCGTTTATATTTTACATATTATACGTATCTACCAACGTATACGTAACTCCTTATTTGCACAATTTTATTTATTCATTATCATTACCATCATTTTCCTTTTTATTGTTATTATTTTTTTTATTATTATTATTATTCTGTACACAATAATTCCTGAATCGTTAGTAAAATACAAGTTATAACTTGCTCAGCAGTTTTAATTGGAAAGTCGAGGATGTGTGAGAATGTATTCTCCATTTAAGTAATGTTGAATAACGTAAGTGCCTGAAAGATAATTAATTATAACATAGCTTAACATCACACCTTTTATCCGCGAAGAGGTAGGCAGAGGTGCATAATACAGCACTTCTTGCCACTGTACAATGTAACACCCACTTTTCCCTATTTATGTTATGAGTCCCATGTAATAGGGAGTGAGCCTATTGCCATACACCGGGCACAATACCAGACTCCGTGCTACTACTGAGAATTTAAAAAAACCCAGTAATATTTAGCTCGACCCGGGAATCGAACCCGAGACCCCTTGCCCAGCAGTCGCACTTGCAACCACTCGGCCCAAGTGGCAGTCTTATAATTAACTAGCTACTTCCGCGCGGTTTCACACGCTCTGCTCAACTCTTATTGGTCGTAGCGTGATGTTTTATAGCCTATAGCCATCCTCGATAAATGTACTATCCAACACAAAAATAATTATTGAAATCAGACTTGTATGTATGGAGATGAATGCGTTCAAACAAACAAACTCTTCCGTATTGTAATTTAATAACTAACCGTACTTTAATAATTGTAACTAACTAACTAAAACTCTGTGCTACTACTGACTATTTAAGACATTTAAAAAAGAGATTAGATTACAAGCCCATACATTATACAATCACAACTTAATAAATTATTACGTTCCTTTGTCTTCCAGCATGGCTTAAGAACATCTCATTTGAACTAAACAAAAGACGACGCACTTGACTCTACAAGAAACAATCTACATACATAACATCCCCGAAGGGGTAGGCAGAGGTGCATATTACGGCACTTAATACCATTGTACAATGTAACACCAACTTTTTACTATTTATGATATTAGTCCTATGCAATAAAATATTAAACCACCGTATTAAAACATTGATAATGTTTTGTTTAATTTAAAAAAGGAAAGAAATAACAACCTTAAGGTTGGCTGTTTATATTTAAAAATAAATAAATAATTTTAAACTAGTTTATCGCTCGTGATTTTACCCGCGTATTCAAAAGAAAGTATGTAGGTACCGCGCTGCGGCAGCACTGCCTCTTATCAACAGACACAAAAAAAAAATATCCTTTCCGAAGTGAATGTAAGACTGACATACTTTCACTTTATAAAACTGGTTATATTAATACGTAATTATTACATTAAGTTATCGATTTACTTTTACCGTACTAAAATAATTGAGAATTAAGTATTTATCTGTTACCCGCTGCTTCGCCTGTTTTATCGCATGGGAGCATTTCATCTGGATTTCATTGTGCACAACTCATTGGCCAATAAATTATTATGTTTTCAGCTTACTCACGTAATAATTTGACGAGGAACTCAACTAGTTTCAAGCCATGCTAGTGGCTCATATTCATGAGTAGCATTTCGCGACCCGCGATGCGGCGACTTAACTATTTAGTATGTCTCGCGAAAGTTACAATACAAATATTATCGTTGGCCAATGTTTAGATATGCATGCATTTCTGTACTATTTAGACTTTCTTATATTTTACATGTACTTTGAACTACATAAATATGCGCAGATGAAATGTAATATAATCTTATTTAGAGTGACATATTTTACTGCAACAAAAAATTATAACACATTGGCAGAGTTACAACATTAGAGCCGCATTATTTGATTAAATAATTATATTTATTTCATCCTAAAGTTCTACTTAAATTAACTAAAACAAGGTCACACAACGCTAAATTATATTACATACTGTAAACAAAAATTAAAAAACAAAATACTTAAACTGTCTATCACCCTAAACCGACAGCAAAATTAAAATATGTCAAACAAAATATTTAATATCAAATTATACAGCTGGGAGACAGCCAAAAGAAATAAAAGCAAGACATTGTGACGTCGAATAACTGAATAAAATACAAGGAAAGACGTCGAGGTGGCAAATAATAAAGACATTATTCATTTAAATGTCTTACAGGGGCTTTATGAAGGGGCAAATGAAATAAAGGAAGTGAACAGGTGATTGTTAATTTGAACGCGAACCCACAAATTGTTGATTTGATTCAATTTCCTTGCGTCGAAAATTTTCTACGTCTGATTTTCTTACCCTGTCCTTTTTAAACAAGAATTTGTTGCGTCGTAATCCAGGAAAAGGTTACTAAAATATAAAATGAAAACATGATTTTATTCTTTCATTTTGTTTGTAGAAAATAATAAGATTGTGAAAATATCGGAATTGTGTTGTTAAAGTATGATTTGATTATAGAAATATCTACGAAATCTGTGAAACGCTGGCTGGAAACGTACTTGTGACATTTCTAATATCTTTATGGGTGTTTCCGTTTGCTTACAAACAGTTGATTAGTCTACTCGGGTGCCGCCCTATCCCATATAAATATTTTTAGTATTCAACCGTTTACGTACATTATTTCAAAGTAATATACTTATTTTGATGAGGTAAGATAATGTGCATTTTGTAACGTTATAAAATCAACACATGACATTCCGCATAAAATCTAGAACTAACTTATAGCGAAAAATCGAAGCTTCCCACAAAAAGATACGTTGTCCATTCCTTATTCGAGGAATCATGTAGAATCTGTAAATATCGGCATCTATTGGTATTTTGCCAACAAAACTATTCAATTACCTTTTATATTATGACAAATAGAAATCTGATAACAACTTATTTAATGTCGAATTTCTGAAACTACCATTCCGTCCGACATCTTTTGTGGCAAGACTTCTATCGTATGATGAAAAATAAAGTCGCCATTTACAATATAGACGACACGTAACAAACATGCATACATTGTTTTAAATAATTAATCAACTATTTATGTATCAATTCTTTTAAAATAAACTGATATCTTTAAAACCGGTTCTAAATAAAATTTCACAAAACATTAATTATAATTCGAAGATAACTATGTAGAAAATAATTACTATATCGTTGGTAAGATGCTAATTTAATTGTTCTGTCAGTTAGGGATGCAATCCCATTTCGAGTCGTAAGCGGTAAAAATCTTAATTTGTACACAACGACTACTATACTAAGGAGATCAAAAATAAAAAGAAAATATGAACCCGTTCGTAGTTTTAGTCATACAAACAAAATAAATATGAATAGGGAATAAACAAAAGTGGACCTAAGATTGCACCCTGGGGAACATCTAAGGGTGTATATTATATGTGAGTACTGCATGAGACTGATAACCGTTATAACACTTGATGTTTTATTTTTAATTTTATATTAGAACTAGTGAAATAAATTCTTCTGGCCAATTGCAAGCTTATTAAGTATTATTAGACGGTGGACATAGTCAAAAGCCTTCTAAAAATCTGTATATACTACGCTAACTTACAATCGTCGATTCGTGTTTATAGTATGTAAAAATAAACAAAGACTACAAGTAAAATAATAAGACGCATAGAAATACCTGATTATCGTTCAACGCAATTATCATGAATTGATATTTGCTGCAGAAAATAATGATAATAATTAAATATTTATATTTAGGTGACAACCATAGAAGAACATTTCGAACAAACATTTCAGATTAGCTTTGAATAAAATTGACGCCCGTCGTCTGTTTCGCCCACACTTAGTAGTGCCGTTGAGATGTCGAAGTTGTTAATTCTGTTGCTTTGCTGTGCCGGGTTAATTAGTGCCCAAAGTAAGTCTAACATAATTAGTGAAGTCTAGTCTTTCATATTTTTTTTATTTTATAAGCAATATTAAACAAATCAAGTGGGTGTTTATTTAAATCGCCATGTGATATCAACCCCTAAGTTTGATCCATTATTGTCCGCCTGCATCAACCTCTCCTAAATTTGAAGGAATCGCTAAATCGAGATAGGTGACTTATTCCATTCCACATTATAGCATTCCACAATTTTTTACTTTGGTGGTAGGTTTGGGTAATACACCATTGTGGACTCTTTCTATCTTAAAAAAAAGTAACATAAAAAGGCAGTAAAATAAACATGGACTACAAGTAAAATAATAAATCACACAAAAAGACGTAATTGTCGATCATTGTAACGATTATGTATAATACTCACTATATACTTTAGCCGAAATATTGTCAGTAATATATTTATTCAGGTCACAATAGTAAAAGATTGGTTTTAAATAAAATTGACGTTTGTTGTTTGTTTTGATCATACTTAATATTGTCGTCGAAATGTCTAACTCATATTGTTGTTCTTTTGTTCTGTATTAGTTAAGTGTTTAGCGAAAATCTATAAATGATTATTGATTTTTTGCGTTTATAGATACAAACAATTGCATGTTACACAGAAATATAATAAGTACATAATTATTTACATATATCACAAAAAATATAGTTCGTATCTTAAAGAACGTAAAACCACTTACTGAACGTATAACTGTTTTTTTTATTGTATTTAAAAGTCAACACAATTTGTTTTTTATAAGAATATATTTTATATATAAATATATGCCTTTTATCGCCGAAGGGGTAGGCAGAGGCGCACATTATGGCACTTAATGCCACTATACTATGTAACACACACTTTTTCACTGCCTATTTCCATATACCGGGCACATGTCCAGACTCTGTGCTACTGCTGAGATTTTTAAAAACCCAGTAATACTTTGCCCGACCCTGGAATCCAACCCGAGACCCCTTACCCGGCAGTCACACTTGCCAACGAGGCCAACGAGAGTACCTATATTTAAATGCGATGTGTAAATAGGAGACATTGTGTGTCTGTTTGTTAGTCCTTCACGTCCAAACGTCTGAAGGGATCGAAATGAAATTCGGAACAGGTTTAAATTCTAGTGTGAAATATTATAGGTTACTTTTTAGTCCACTCGGATGCGGATCAAGCCGCTAACTTCTGCCAGTGGCTTGACCTGCGTTCTTAGCTTCGCATTCTTGACTTCCGCCAGTATATTTATATTACTGTTTTCAGCTCAGAATTGTCCCAGCGGTGAGATTTATGAATGCCGCAGCCCATGCGGACTAACATGTAGTACTCTGCGCAATCCTTGTATACAAGTCGTTATCTGCTCTTGCTACTGTCAGGCTGGCTATACCAGGCGCATCACCAACGGAACATGTATACCTATCTCGTCTTGCCGTAAGTATTCTAGCTAAATGTCTATACTTAATCCCCGATCCTCAAACCTTAAATCCCCGGTCCCTAAAATTTTGCAACTCTTTTGGTGTTGTGGGTGTCTGTAGTCGGCGATTGCTTACCATCAGTAAGCTCGTTTACCAGAAAAACCTTGTTTCTTTTATCATTTCTTATGTTTCCATTCGTATTCAGATAAACTGACTCTTATAAATTTCTCCACAGAAATAGACTTATTCATGAAACAAAAGCAAATGTGACCGAACTGTACAAGATAAGATTATTGTCCAAATTGTGAATAATGGTTTTCTTTGTTTACAGCGCCCAGTAATGGTTAGTGGATCATAGGAAGTTATGCTGATCCACATACGTCCAAACTTATCCTTTTCGTACAAAAACTTATCTTCGTCCAAAAAGCCATGACAGTATGATTGGAACTTCTAGAATGAGCCGTGAACAGCATGGCCAATAGACTAATGTGTGCTAGCTTAACAGTACAAGAACAATATATTATTATATACAATAACTTTTAAGGTATACTGAAAGTGTTGATACCATTAGTTTAAAAATGCATTAAAACAATATAATTACTATTATTATTCTGTAGAAAATAATTCCTGAATCGTTAATAAAATACAAGTTATAACTTGTTCAGCAGTTTTAATTGGAAAGCCGAGGATGTATGAGAATGTGATCCCATTTTGAGTAATATTGCATAACGTAAGTGCCTGAAAGATAATTAATTATAGCATCACGCCTTTTATCCGCGAAGAAGTAGGCAGAGGTGCACAATACAGCACTTATTGCTACTGTACAATGTAACACACACTTTTCACTATTTATGTTATGATAGGGGGTGTGCCTATTGCCATATACCGGGCATAATTTCAAACTCTGTGCTACTACTGAGAATTTAAAAAACCCAGTAATATTTAGCTCGACCCGGACATCGAACCCGAGACCCCTTGCCCAGCAGTCGCACTTGCAACCACTCGGCCAAAGTGGCAGTCTTATAATTAATTCTAATTATAGTTACAGCTTTACATACACACACACACATTCATTTTTATCACACTTACTACCCTGTTAGGTGATTGGTGATAGAGACAGCAGACAACACACCAATATAAATGTGAAAATTACTATGTTTGGATGTTTCGATGTTTGTCAATCACTCTGAAACTACTCAACGAGTTTTCATGAAATTTGATATACAGGCAGGGTATGGGGTGACTTAGGCTATAGGATACTTTTATCCCGACTAAATGCTCCTATAGGGAGTCACCACTTTAGGGAGTTTTCACTTTGGAGGTCCACCAATGCGGCGGAAAGTAAATAATATGTATTTAAAGTGTAAAATAAACTGTTCTATTAAAGTATAATATATTGTGAAGACATTTTTACAATGGAAAAATTATGACATTAGAAAACAAAAGAAATGACAGATTCTATTAGAAGAC